AGGCGAGCAGGGAGGGGCAGGAGATAAGGCCTCTGCCTTCTGGGCCCAGCCGGGCCTGGGGCAGGGGCCTTGCTGGAGGTTGAGGTCTAGGAAGGCATCTGCCTGCCCAGCCCTAGCTAAGGGGGAAAGTCAGTGGGGGTGTAATTAGAACCAAATCTGGTGCTAGCGAGCTGTGGCAACAAGACTTGAGGAACAAGATAGCCTAAATCTGGGGTTCAGGAGGAGAATTCACACACCCCTGCCTCCTCCCAGCCTTCCAACCCCTTTCTTAAGTTTCCTGTGCCCCCGTGTAAAACGTTCCCTCCATCTCGAGCTCTCTCTCCTTCCTCCTCTCTGGGCCATTAGGCAGATGTGTCCTCACTTCATGCCGCTGCTGGCTGTGCTCCTTGGGCCCTTGCTCTCTGCTGATGGGATGAGCTGGGCTTGCAGGGCTGGTGGCAAAGAGTGAAGCACTAGTCAGCCGTCAGGGGAAGAGGGAGATCTACAGAGGACCTCAAGCTGGAGGGGGATATTCCATGTTCCAAAAGAGCCACCCAATCTTGGAGGTTCCAAGGAGGTGACACCCACAAGGGCAGGGACCCAAGCCAGACAGCTCCATCACCCAGGCAGCTAGCTCCTGTCTATGCACTAAACAAGACATACTGTAATTGTCACCCCACGGCCGTGAGGCTTGGTGGAGAAAGGAGGGGCCACAGGACCTGCTCTTTGAGGGATTATGGAAATGGGGGGCCCTGAACATCAGGCCTGGGATTTCCAGTTGTAGGGAGACCTCTTGAGGATTTGGGTCATTGACCCAGGCCAAATTTTTTTTCTCAGTCAGGGGGTGGGTGCCTGCTGTGAAGGTGGGGAGAACATGTGGCTGTGGTCTTGGTGGTGGGGATGGCATGGCGCGCCACCCGGCTCCTGAATGACAGCCTCTCGTGGCCAGTGATCTCAAGTCTTGGCTTAGATGCTTTCCCTTCCCCCACAGGTCAGGGTCTGAGCTAACTAAGGCTTTGCTCTTCACAAGGAAAACCGAGGCACCTGTGGCCTAAAACCTGTGAGCAGAGGGCTCCAGTAGAGTGTGCTCAAGGGAGTGTGTGTGCACATGTGCTGAGGACATCTGTGCCCCCACCAAAATTGATGGAATGTGTCTGTCCCACCAGCCTTCCCAGGCAGCAGGCCTCGGCACTCCGCTAGGAGGTGCGGCAATGGCTGTAGGCCAACATCCTAACAGGTTTTTCTTTTTGCAACCTGGTTGAGTCTTGCTGGAGTGAAGAGGATTCAGGCTGATTACGAATGGTAAAAAGCACTCCTCAGGGCCTACCCGGTGGCACAGCGGGTTAAGCACAGTGCTGTGAAGCTGTCTGCAGCCTCTGCAGTGCAGGTTTGATCCCGGCCGGCGAGGGAGAATCCCACATGGTGAAGCAGACCTCTCCTGCCTCGCCCGTTGCTCCCCTCAGCAGTGTATTTCGGTCGTCTGTCTGTTCTGTTCCCCGGCTCTGCCTCTGGTAAATCCTCTCATCCTCCCATGCCTCTGGCCTGTACCCCAGCTATTCTATAAAAATAAATAAGTCTTTACCAAAAATATAAAAAAAAAGCACTCCTCAGCTGGCAGTGTGCCTGCTCTCAGCCGTCAGAGATCAGTCATGGCTTGCAGGGATGCATATCCAGGCCCAGCTCCGAGACACCGGCCCAGAGACCCCCTCTTCTTCAAGAGGTTAGACCGATTCTGAGCTCAACCATGCCCCCCTCCCTGCAGTGGCCTCACTGTCCGCGGGCTGATGGGCTTCAGAGGGCAGGGCTGTTCCACCGAGACCACTTCTCGCTCGGGCCAGGCTTCAACTGAACCTCGAGGGTCCAGCAAAAGCCGAGGAAGGGGCGCCGTGTCCAGCAGCGGTGCTCAAGCCCCTCCTGGGATGAATGACAGAGGCGCCCTAGGCTCTCCGCTCCTTCTCAACCTCCACCCCCACGGTTAGGTGCCATTTACTTCAGAGAGACAAGAATGGCTCCCCGGCACCTCTCTCTTCAAAGGACCCCTCTCCCCAGCAAGCCCTCGTTTATCTCACGGTCTCCCTGAGAGATTCTGTATTTTCACAGCAAAAGCAGCCACCACCCACCAAACCTTCACAGAACTGGCAAACTGATGCGACCTTTTGGGATGGGCAGTCTCATGTGGTGCCCTTTTCACAGTCCTACCCCAGCTGTCCCCCACCTCAGGGTGGGAAGCTGAGGGGGATGGCACAAGCATGCCCCACCTGTTGGCTTACACACCGGCCAGGAGAGACACCAAACCCACCACCAACCCCGATGCGGGGTTTTCAGGCAGGGTTAAGTGTGCAGAGAAGGCATCAGAACTCCCCCTGCAACCCGAAATCCCCAATGGGCAGGGCTCAACATCCATCCCGGGGCCTCTCATGATCACTTCTCTCAGCGGAGAGTCACACCTTGGGAGGTGGAGCTTCAGGTAGGCGGAGGTCAGGTGGGCCTGAGTATTTAGAGTGGAATGTGGTGTTTGCACACTGGAGGAAGCACTTGGCGTCAAAGCTTCAACTCTGGGCACCTGGGGCACCCGATGTCCCCTCATCCCTCCCGGCCCAGGCCCCCACTGCAAAGACTCTGACCGTGCGTGACCCACCAGCATCCGGGATATTGGTCTTCTCTACGTTCAAGGCCTCGCCAGTGTTGCCTTTCCCTTCACCTAAGGGAGTCTTGATTGTTGGGGACCAAACTGAAACAAAGCATAGCATCCTAGTCCCCTCTTCTGTTTCCTCCTCTACCCAGACCGTGGCCTCTGGTCTCTCCACTGCCTGGTGACGGCTGTTCGCACCAGGTGGGTGCTTTTCTTCTCGTCAACGTGAACAGCTGCCCTCACAGTGTGCTCTTGAGAATAAGGGCACCGCCACCCTGGGAGCTTGTCAGAACTTCTCTGGCAAATTCTTTGGCTCCACCCAGAGCTACTGAACAGAAACCCTGGGGGTGGCACCCAGCTGTCCATGTTCTCACAAGCACTCCAGGAAATTCTGAATCTGTAGTACTGGATTCAGGTAGGAACCATCACTTAGTTTTATGACACAGGTGCGTGTGGCTTGCGGCTATGGGAGAACCTTCTCTAGGAAGATGGGGGACCTACCTCCACACTTCCAGTCTGGAAGAGTCTCCCTCCTTGGACAGACCCATCAGGGAGGCCAGATTTGGGATCCACCGAATGGCTCTTCCCAAGCTCTTTTCTTCCAGAAGGTGCCGCAGGAATTCAGATGGCTCTAGGCATTGCCATAGCAACTGCACCTTTCCGAAGCTGTCACGGACTACGAGAGCAGGGAGTAAGCAATGCAGAGAGATCTGCCCGTGGGGAAAGCACACCCGGCAGAGAGGGCCGTGAAAACAAACGAACCTCAGCGTGACTGGGATTTATGGATCTGAGTGTGGTGCAGCGTGACCTCAGCACCTGGGATGACGACAGTCTATGTTGAAACATTTTCTCTAAAAGGGTCGCCTGCCTGGCTGAGATGAGGCTCCGAAGAGGTCACAGGGCAAGAAGGAAGTGCCCACTCTAGGATGAACACCTGTGTTCCAGGTCAGGGTGGCAGGAAAGGACCCAGTATCAGGCTTCTGGCCTGGACCTGCATTCTAAAGCGGAAGTCCCGTCGAAGGGGCCTTGGATCACGGTGGAGTCTAGCCCTCAAAGAAACCAACTGTCGGCAAGAATCCCATAAAAATGGAACCCCCTGTACCCCATCGGGCTGGCATCTGAGTTCAGAACGGTGGCTCCCTCCAGTCCCCGGACATCCCAAGTGCTGGTAACAGTGGGCGTGAAGTTCTGAGCCTCTCCTGCCCCTGGGGTTGGAGACCTTAACTGCTCCTTTGCAGAGGCCACAGTGTCTGGGAGGGTGAGCAGCCCTGGGGCTCCAGCAGCCTCTGGCAGGAGCAGCACATGGGCCCAGCAAGTGCCTCGTACAATGAGCACTTGGCGTTGGGGAGCCGCCCTGTTTTCCATCTGACTGTACCTTTGGCTCTTTGTGCTCTGGAAGAAGCAAGCAGTGGGTGTAGGAACTGGAGGGGGACTCTGCCCTGGGCTTGGGGGCAGGGTACAGTATGAGAAATCAGGGTGGTGGGGGTGCAGTGACCCCACAGCGCTCTGGGATCCTACTTGCACCATTGCTCAGCACTGTGACCCCCAGAGCTTCCCGGATGATTACTCTGCCCCAGCTGGCCTTCCAGGCTAGCCTGCCCCTGCTTCCTAGGTGGGTGGAGGGACTTCCCCCCAATGCTTGCCTTTCCCCAGAGCCCCTGCTGGCTCTCTAGGGCCTCAACTGCCTGCTGGTCACCATGTGGGCCTAGGCAGGGCGTGGGGGGCTGGGGGAGGCAAGCCCTCCACCAGGCACGGGGCTTCTCCTGGGTTGCCCTCACACTGCAGCAATCCTGCTGGCACCTGCCCCTCACCCCCAGTAAGCACGACACGGGGGACATCGGGGCGCCTCCAGGTGGGTTAGGAGGAGTCAGAAGAGGGGAGGCTGGAAAGCATTACCCCACCCCCTGTCTCCCCCCACTGCTCCCTCACGAGGTTTCCATGTGACCGCCCCTGGGAGGCTGTGGGTCGAGTCCGCTGGCTCCCACTGACCTCCTCGGGCCGCGGGCGGGGGTCTGCAGAGGTGTGTGTGCGTCGAGGGCGATGCGAGAGCCAGCTGGGGGGCCTCTGACTTCATTCCAGTCACTGCCCTTTATAAATATTTATAGCAGTTCTCACTAAAAATAACATCCTGGAGCCCGGGGAGGAGAAAAAAAAATAAATGGAAATCACCGGGAATTGGGATTGATTATCGCGTGTGCCAGAGCCCAGGGCGCCGGGGCGGGCCGGGCCGGGCCGGGCCGGGCCGGGCTCCCCCTGGCGGGCGCTGCGCGAGTCCTGGCCGCGGGAGGAGCCCCGCGGGCTGCAGGGCCGCGCTCTCGGCTCCTCCCTCCCGGGCTGCAGAGCCGCGCAGCAGCCCCGGCGGCGGAAGCCTCGCCAGCGCGAGAGAAAGGCAGGCGGCTATTTTTAGCACTGCGGCCAGAGTGTGAACGTCTGTAGAACGGAGCACGGTCTGAAGCTGCCTTTGCACAAGACGGGGAAGAAGAAAACCTGTTGCTCTTTAAAGGTCACAGGCAGGGAGGATCTGGTGCCCCCACCCCGGGGAGCCCCCCGCGTGCTGGCAGCCGGCCAGCGAGGCCGCCATCAAGTCACACACTCAGGAGACTCGTGCTGTTTCTTTTCTCTTTTCAACCTCCCGGTAAATTCCTGCTGCAGAGATGAGCCCCTGCCCCGGGGAGTGATGGAGCCGCTGGTTCATGCAGGACCGGGCAGGGGAGGCCCACCAGCTGCGCATCCCTTGGGCGGCCGGCCCCTCCCGCGTCCCAGGGGCTGGGGCTCCCCGCTCCCCAGCAGGTGGTGACGTCTGGCAGCCTCGGGCCTGGTCCAGCTGTTTGGCAGAAAGACGGGCAGGAATGTGGCTCTGGGGGAGGATCTCGCCTTCCTCTTGCCGATGCCAGCTTGCTCCGCGTCCCCTGCGCCTGCGCAGGGCAGAGGTGCTGTCACTCAGGGCACCGGGAGGGTGTGCGCGCAGAGGCTGCAAAATTCTGCTGGGGACAAGCCAGCAGTGGGGAAGGGGCGGGTGGGCCGCTTGCCTCTTGAGCTCGAGAGACTCAGAGACAACAGTGATGCCCTTTAGGGAAGGGGGTGCTCTCTTCCAGTGGGACCCAGAGTTTCTGGAGTTGTTACTAAGGTCTCAGGGCCAGGGAAGAAATAATGGTTTGCTAGGTGAGGTGCGCAGGGTTGCCGAGAAGGGCAAAGAGGTGGGAGATGTGCTCATAATCCTGAGTGGGAGGGAACAGGACCCCAGTCTCGAGAGAGAGCAGGGTCTGTGACAACGCGTGGAGCTCCCATGCTTTGCTTGGACTCCACTCTTGGTGAGTTTCTAATAGCTCTCTGCAGACAGGGTCAGATGGCCGGATTAGGAGAGGGAGGGGTTCCATTCTAGTTCTGGCACCACCGTCCCGGGGTGCACCATGCCACTCTGAGAGGCCCGTCCTGATCCCGAGTTCCTCTGTGCCCCGGGGAGAGGGGCTCTGGCAGGCTGGCAGGCTCTCAAAGGGCAAGTCTGCTCCTGATCCCCTGCTGGCTGCAGCAGCCTAGGCCTGCAGTCGGAAGGGGCCTTGTCTGAATGTGTAGCTCGTTTAGGTAAAAACCTGCCCAAGCCCCAGGGGCTCTGTGATTTCCAGGCAGCAAGAGACTTTCCCCAGCTTGCAGGATCCCTGAGTCAGTGCGGCTCAGAGCCGGCAGGGGCAGAGCCCCTCAAGGGCCTGGTGGTGGTGGTGGTGGAGGGGGGTGGGTTGGAGGGCCCAGAGGCCACCCCAGGGTGAGACTACTCCCTAAGGTCCTGGGAGAGCTCCCCTTTTTGGTTATGGGGGCTTCAGCACTGCCTTTTCTGCCCTGAAGATCTGAGGCCTAACTTGAAACATGAAAAGTGAGGGAGAGGAAGAAAGAGAAATCTCATGGCTGTACCAGGCATCTGCCCCAGAGAGGACTCTTCTCCTGCAGGTTGCTGGTCCTTTTTTTTTTTTTTTTATATATATATTTTAACCCCTTCCTTTCAGGGAGCACACCTAGAAGCTGCAGTATCTTGGAACTGGGACTAGATAAAACTTCAGTCCTGAGATGGGACAATGTTAAAGACTAATTCTGAAAGCCATGGGCACTCTGGGGAAATTTAGACCTTTACTTTTTTTTTGGGGGGGGGGCAGCGAGAAGGTGCAGCTTGGCCAGGTACCACAGGAAGGACTTGGTGGGCTTTCTGGAGTCAGCATGACCCCACAGGATGGAAATCCACCAGGTGCCTAGGTGACGGAACCCTGAGGTGCTGGCTGTGGTTTGGACCCCCCGAGAGAAATGACAGTGCATGTGGGAAATCAGAACAAGGAGGCAGGGGCAGCCCTGGGAAGTGACCGCCAGCACCTGCTGACCAGACTCCAGCGGCCAGCAGCGCCTGGTTGCCAACTGCATTGACACCGGGGACACTGAGTCACACCTGAAGCCTGGGCCAGGCCCAGTGCAGTGCAACACAAGTACGCTGGGGGCTGCGGGCCCAGGGCAAAGGGGCAGGCGAACTCTTTAAAGAAAGGCCTTGCTTGGCTCTCCACCTGCTGGCGTTGCTCTGGGCTGGGACTCGTGACTGAAGAAAGGGGAGGGAAAGGAGGAGCTTAAATAGGAGGGACAGGGCAGGGGGAGGGCACAGAACTCTACTCACCCACGCTTCCTCTCCGGCCCAGCTCCTCCGCTAACCTGTGCAGCACAAACACAGCCAGGTCACACCAGGGGCTTCTCGCCACCCTGGACCTTCTCCCACCCGGGAACTTCTTCCCGACCCACACGCCCATGGTTCTGGGACTCGCCTCTCCTTTGTCACGGTTGTGTCAGCTTCTCCTGAGCAGGCGTGAAGGCAGCGGGCAGCCGTGCTACCCCCAGCCACGCACCCGCAGCTGACAGAACAGCCATGGGGACGAGAGCGCCTCAGCAGAAGGGAAATAACGAAAGTACCAACATGGAGACGAAGCCACTAAGTCTAGGGAGCAGTTACAGGGGGCACAGCCCATGTGGCTCTGCAAGAGAACGAGGTGAACATGAGCCCAGCTGTGAGGAGGACAGTATTCCCTTCCTGCGGGTCTACCTGCCACGTCAGACTCTTGCTCGCCCTGGAATCTCATCATTGCCTGTACCAGCAAGAGCCCGTGTTTCCCCTTGCAGAGGCCACCGCTGCCCGCCTGTCCGACGCACACGGGGTTCCCTAAGTGTGCAAACTAGACTCACAGCTCCCCACACGGGAGGCGGCAGATGCTGGGAGAGGAGATTCTGAAGGACACGGGAGCAGAAAATGGAGCCCTGGGGCTGACTCGAACTAGGGCTCTGAGTAAGATGGGAGAAGTGACTAAGTCTGTTTCCTCCGTGCACTCCTCTGGTTACAAGTACTCACTATTTAAGTTGAGGGGTGCAAAGCAGGAAGGGCACCCCATGGAGCAGACTCACTCTCCAGGATGCAGCCAGAGAGCTGGGGCGGGCAGGGAGAGGCCGAGGGGGGCAGCTGCCGGGGCGGTTCACTTGGTTGTGAATTCTTCAAAAGTGCCCACGTGGCTCTCATGCTTTTGCACGGAGCAGACTATGCCTGACGGGGCGCTTACTGGGGTCAGGAGGATTTCAAACCCTAACAAGCCACTCTTCACTCTCTCTATGGCTGACAGTTACTGCTCTCAAATTCCCAGGTGACAGCAGGTACTGCCATACGGCCCCCCGGTGAAGTCCCATGCCCAGATCATGGCAGACAACCAAAGGCTTGTCCATAAAAACACTGGGTTTTACTGCTGCACCCACATAATGGCTTCACATTAGCTTTAGGGATGCATCCAAGGGCCTACCCAGTGTTGAGAGTCAAATCGTTTTAAAACCCCTAGCCATTTCTCATCCCACTCTCCCCACTCTCCCCTTCAGGGACGACATCTAAAAGCCACAGAAGTAGAAATTGAGGCATTTTCACTGAGTCACACAGACGTGCAGAAACGCGGTACACATGTTGAAGAGAGATGAGCAAATACTAAGAGCGAGAGCAAAAGACAGAAGAGATGCTGGCAGAGCAGCACAGGTGGAAAGACAGGGCACCCCGAAGGCCAGGAGGTGCCAGGCAAGGGGACCCACACCCGTCCCACAGGGAGACACAGCTGGCACCCCCCCTCCACTTGAGCCACGAGTAGGGGTGGCGGCTGTGGTCCGGGCGGAGTCCTGTGTGCTTCGGGGAGTAGAGGGAGACTGTGGTGAGGCCATGGGAACGCCACTGAGGGAGGGAGGGCACAGGAAGAGAGGCCAACGGAGCAGCTGCTGTGTTTTAGGCCAAGAACATTCCACAGGAATGCCGGGGTCTGGCTGGATGTGCGTGCGCTCCTGTTTGGAGAGTGTGTTTACATCAGAGTAAACTTCTCTCCGTGTATCTCCTCTTCTCTTCACCTCTTGTTTACAACCTCCTGCCGTCCTCCTCGTTCTGTCGGCACAGGGAGGCCAGGGTTCTCTGCTTCTCTCTGTAGCATGTCTATGTGTTTAAAACCTTGCTGCCCTCCACTGCTGACCTCTGACACCCAAGCCACTACGTCACTCTCATCACTTCATCGCGTCCACTTCTCCAGGGCCTGGCTCTGACTCATCAGGTGATTTCAGCACCTGGAGTGTATGTTCTTCTCCCAGTTTCTTCCTTGGCCATTTCTGTGTCCTTGTTGACAACCTCCAGAGTGCTCTGTCTTACCCACACTAGCTCTATGAGCAAACACGTGCCAGACCCTCCACCCACACCCCTAAGGTGCGTCCTTCCTCTTTCCCATCACAGCTTCCTTGCCCATATCACCCCCCTGACCCGGCCCCCCAACCTTACGACGCTTCCTTAAGACTGTTTCCATTTCACTTAGTCTGCAGGCTGCTCGGAGTAAAGCATGGGTGCTAGAGGTAGAATAAACGCCTGGCAGAACCCACGTTCTGCCACTCACTACCTGTGCCAGTCACTGAGCTTGTCTAGAACCTTTCTCGTGGGCTGTGACGTCAAACAGGATACCTGTGCCAAGTGCAAAGCCTGCCACAGAAACCGGAAGAGCTTCTCATCTCCACACCTCCTCCTTGGCGTCATCTCTCCCCCGCACCAAGCGCTGTCACATCCACCTGTTTACTTCCTCACTGCCCTCTCAACCTGCGCCAGGCTCTACTTAGGCACTGGGGACACAACCCGGGCAAAGCAGACCGAAGTCTCTGCCTTGCGGCGCTCACGTTTTGAAGGAATCCAGCAGAGAACACATTCATGTGTGATGGGACTGCTCATTCTCGAATGCCCAAAGGTAATTCTGTTATTTGCTGAGGGAAACAGAGGAACATGAAGACTAAGAAGTTTGGAGTCCAAAAGACCCAGTTCAAACCCAAGTTCTGCCACTTAACATGGTCTGCGTTTTTCTGAGCCTCTTTCCTCCTCGGGGAAACGGGTTGCCACCTATCTCCCGGGGTTAAGGATGAAACGAGACTACACACGGAGGTCATTTAGCACAGTTCTTTGCAAACAGCAACTATTAAGTGGGTCTTATATACAATAAAACGGGGACGGCATTACTGCCCTTTGCTGACACTTTCCTTTATTGCTTTTAGTTTTTCCATGAAGCTGAATAACCACTGGACTACTCTGCCCACGATAATCTCTTCCTTTGCAGAAATCCTTCTTGAATTTATAATCATACACTCAAAGTTTGATGATTAACCTTTCCTGCCATTTCATTTTATCTATTTATTTTGCAGATCTTAGTTTTGCTTTCCTAACTACACTATAAATTCCTTGAGGCAAGGGATCACGTTTTGTGTTTTCTTGTGTCTACTTCCTGCAGCCTAACCATCCTTCACAGCCCGGGAAACCAGGACGCTTGTGCTGGCCGACTGACACGACCGCCTCTAGGGGAAAATTTGGTGATCAGTTGGGAAAGGTGGGGAGAAGGAACTGTGGGGGTCTTGGGGACCTGACAGCTTTGGGGGAAAGGAGGCAGCAGGAGCAAAGCAGAAACAAGGGGAGGGGGGCTTTCATCCAGGGCCTTTCCAGCTCTGGCTCTCGCTCAGACTAAGGGCCTCGAGCTGCCTTTACCTCTGTCTTTCCCATTCTGTGTCTTCTCTTCTTCTTCCTCTGCACCTTCCTCAGCTGTGAAAACAAGTGCAGGCAGGCCAGTGACCCTTCAGCAGGGCACAAGCATAGAAGGGGTTAAGGGAGGAAGTTTGGAGGCTTGCAAGAAGCCCTAGCTGTGGCGCAGGGCCCAGGCCTCCGAGTTTACATTCACTGGTCTGCACTCTTGGTGCCCAAGCCGTGGCCCTGTTTAAGAGGAGCTGCCCACAGAAGCAGAGCAGCCTGACGTCACCCACCGCTGCTGGCTCTGTCACTGGCCTCCCTGGTGGCCAGGTAGGGGTGCCTGCCTCTCCTCCATGATGTTTCCCCTAAGGTGACAACTTACGCTGGGGATACAGCTAATACCCTGATTTGTGTTCAAGAAAGCAACTATGAAAGTGCATAGTGGGGAATATCTAGATTAATGCTGGCCTCTGTAAAAAATAAATCAATCTAGAGGTTTTATCTGACAAAGCCACCAGTCGCTAAAAGTGGCTGTAGGGATAAAAGCTCAGCCACTCACGGTTGCTTTCCCAGGGGCCTAGTCAGGGAGGCGCCAGGTCGTGCTCTGCAGGGCAAAGAGTCCCAATGTGTACTCAGTCCTGGGGGCTCACTTGGAATTGGGACCGTGAGGCACTAGCCATCCCCTGGTGTGGGCAAGCAGGTGGCAAGGGAAAGCCACATCACATTAGGGACGACTGGAGGGCTGGGAGCATTCTGAAGAGGAGGCTGAGAGCCACGCTACCTGCCATCGAGTCTTGAAGGCTGATGTGAAAAGGAGGCACTGACCCGATTCTGGGACGCTGTGGAGGGTGCTGGTTGGTTACAGAAAGGCAAATAAGGCTCCCCCCGCAAAAGGAGGACTTCCCAATATGAGAGCTGGCTGTGAACCAGTTCACTGAAACACTCCAACAGAGGACGTTTATCCTGGGCAGAGGCTGGGTGAAAGGACTTCAAAATTCTTTTCCAATGCTAGATCCCATTATTTGTAAAGATATTTCAAAAAATCGAGGTGGGCAAGCTATGGATGGAAAGCTAATCTGAGTATCTCATCTCATCCAACAAAAACCTTTGATAGAGATCGTGAAAATGTGTGGTGTTGGGCCAGGCCTCCCGTTCACAGAAAACTGGCAACCTGGTCAGCAAGGGAGTTTATTTCTGTCTTGATAGGAATGCTGTGCCACGTGGACTTCGTCCATGTCCACCCATGGTCCTGAGGGAGCAGAGCACCCATGCAAGGGACCCTCACAGGCGGCAGATTCGCCATCTTGTCTGGCGTGGGGGCGGGGAGTGTGAGGAACAGCATCTGCCTTATATTCTTAATCCCCGACTCTACACCAGCTGTGCCCCTTGGAGCTGCATAACTTCAGGCAAATCTTTCTTCTGATAATCACTTACTGCACGGCTTAGAATAAGGGGCTCAACTAGGCGATCTCTAGGGCACCTTGCAAATGACATTGCAAAATTTGGTTAAAACCCTCCCTTCCTGATGAGAGACTCTGCCCAGCATCCTGGGAAGTGTACAGCTGTGTGAAGCTGTTTGGTGTCGCTGTGCCTGGTGTTCAGGGATGTCCTGTTACCTCTCATCTTAATACGATAAGCTCATGAGTAAGTGGCCTGAGGCGCATGTGTGGTTCACTTTCGTGGCCTGAAACTCCCTGTAAAAGTGGGATTTCTGGCATCTATGGAGCTCTATTAGGGAAGGGACTTTCTAATCACCTATATAGTCTTCCCAAAAGCCATCACCTCTTCTATTTGTGTGTGTGGAGGGGGCAGTAGTTCTGATGGAGACTGAGAAATGGACCCAGAGTGGAGAAGTGTCTCCACCAAGTGCCCTACAGGGGAGAACTGGCGTCCCGTCTACACTGCAGTGGGGAAACCGGCCTTGGCCACACACCCATCCTCTTATAGGTGAAACAGGCAGATTTGAGAGAGAAGTTGTGGGTCAGACCTTGGCCTGGTCCCACGACAACACTAAAGGTATATGTTTTCTCTTGCTAGGGTCTGAAGAAACACCCAAGGCTTGCCTGCCTAGGAGCGTGGGCTGATGACTCCCTTGTCTGACAGTCCATAGAAAAACTGCTTGATATTTTTATTTAAAACACTGCCAACCTGCTTCAAGGTATTTAAAAGCACCATATCAGGTGAAAAGAAACAGCAGTATATCCCTGTCCGAGTGACCCACAGCATTGGGGGGAGGCAGCCTGTTTGCTGCACGTGTAACGTGGGGCTCCAAGCTGTAAATGAAACACTGAACAGCTGTCAGCTACAAAGCCCATGGAGCCATGGAGGTTCTTGAAGATTGGGTGCTGTGTGAATGGCCTGTTATATTTTCTCTTTCCTGGGTTTTATATGAGGGGGAAATGCCATGAGCAAGCATCTCTGGAAAATCACTGAAATAACTAAGTGACAGAGAGACCAAGAAAGAAGCCATAGATGTGACTGCACGTGAGGAGTGGAGGAAGCTACAGACTTAGGTCACAAATCTCAGTGAAAGCAGAACCTAGTCATGGACAAATGGAGAGAATAGGGTTTCAAAAGCAAATCAAACAGGAGAGAGCAGAAAGGTGGCTGGAGAAGGTCCAGAAGCTTCCTTCCATGGCTTCTTCGGTTCCAGTCATTCAGGAAAGCTTCAGAAAGAGACAGTCGGGGAGGCCTAGGGAAAGAGCAGCTGTGTATGGAAGCAAGACAGATGAAGTGAGGATGCGACCCAGCGGTCCTTAGAGATCTGAATTTCTTTAGTGTCTGGACTGTGTCTGCTCCACAGGCATCTTCTTAAGAGAAAGCTAAATGTGCAATTATCTCTCTATGACCATGGCCAGGTGGGTGAGGACATCCAGTGTGTTCCTAGAAGGCAACGAGACTACGTGGTGACACATGGTGACATGAGATGACGTGTGCTAGATGTGACACTTCAGCACGTGGGGAGGCGAGAAGGGTGGGGCAGAAGGAGCGGCGTGAGGCCGGGTGGGAGCTCTGGCTTCACCTGAGTGGAGCTCCTTCACCAGGGATGACATGGTGTTGGTGATGGAGTCAGCAGCCACCAGCAGGTCATTGCGGAGGTTTCTCCTCGTACCTGAGGAGAGTCAGAGCAGATGGCGATGCCAGGTGGGTGGGCTCGGGGAGAGAGCGCAAATGCCTCAGCCTGCCAGGCCCTGGGACACGGGGCAGGACACAGGGGAGATGGGGCTGAAGCGGCTCCACCTGCTCGCCAGCTGTCAGGAGCAGGAGCCTAGGTCCAACGCTGTGATCCCTCTTCTCTGCCGGAAGAGCAGGACCCTGCCAACTCCACACTTCTTAGCTACAAGCAGGAGTTGGGATCCCGAACCACTGCTCCAAGGTGCTCTCACCCGAGGCAGGACTTACTCTCCAGCATCACCACCTCCCCACTCCTCGCCTGCAGCCCCAACAAGGTTTCCTTAACCGCCCCGTCTCCCCTAACTATAGAAACTGCTGCTCACCAGTTCCTTGGAGGACTGTGGCATCCCAGCCCCAAAGTGCCTGCAGCAAGGTTCTATTTTGAGTTCTATCCTTCCTTCTTTTGCTGGCTCTAAAGACTTTCCAGGCCAAGCCCATGACTTGGGGGATTATTTCATCCAATTCCTCTAGAATCCAAAGGACAAGGGACTTCCCATTACCCACCAGAAAGAGCACAGCTCAGGCCGCCTGTTCTCTGCGCATGGAAAGCCTCCAGACCCCCAGTGGCGACCAGCCCACCTAATGAGAAGGGCCAGCACCCGACTGACTCATCCAGGATGTGAAAACCTGATTGTTCAGAGCTAAGTGCACAGAAGAAAAGAAACTGCAAAAAAAATCTCAGTAGGAATCCTGCCCATGTCTCCAGCTCCCCATTAATCTCTGCTCCCGAAACTCACCTTGTGCAAAGGCCTCCTGCATGTCCCCCCCGACTCCGCCCAGAGGGTCCTGCGGACAGTGCGTGGGGGTAGAGCCGGCGGACGTGGAGCGGACGGGCATGGGCATCGGGCGGCTGCCTCCGTGCGTGGGTGATGTGTGCGGCGATCCGGTGGCCTGGGCCTGGGGGGTCAGAGAAGCTGTGTTACCTAGGGTCCCTCACCTCTCACAAGAGGGGACAGTGCAGCCGTGCAGTGCGCTGCAGGGTCACATTTGAAAGGAAGGAACCAGGCTGCCTCCAGCCCTGGAGAGAGGAAGCAGGGGGGTGGGGGGGAGGCAGGGAGCGAGAACGGAGAATGGAAGGAAAGTCAGAGGGCAAGCCTTTCCACAGACAGACTGCACCGAGCAGCGGGTGCCGCCTGGAGGGCCGGGGGTCACTTCTCTTTGCAAACTCACTCATGTACCTTATTTCACTTGCTCCTCACAACAGCTTGTGAATAGAAAGGGTAGAGGAACTGAATAGACATTTTTCTGAAGAAGACAGGCAAATGGGGGTTCCCTGGTGGCGCAGGGGTTAGTCTCGGCGCTATCAAGCTAATGCCAGTCACTGCGGCCTGAGTTCCATCCCCTGCCAGGGAGCTGACCCACATGGCGCAGCAGACCTCTCCTGTCTTGCCTGCTGCTCCCCTCAGCGGTGTATTTCAATAGATCTGCCTGTTCTGCTCCCCATTCTGTCTCTGGTGAATCCTCTTACTCCCTCCCCTACACCTCTGGCCTACACCGCAGCTCTTATATGCATACACAAATAAATCTTAAAAAAATATATATGATATTATGGCTGTGTTATTAAATAACTTATTTAATTAGATGTGGGCGGGGATCCTTTCACCATGTATGCATATATCAAATCACCATAATATACACTTATAATTTTATGTCAATTATACTTCATGAGCTTGTATAGCCTCCAGGAAGGCCCCATGCACCCCAGCAGTCAATGGTTTCCCATGGCTGATAAGGTCAGAGGGACGAGCCCTGGTCATGCAGAGGAGTCAGCCCTTGGTGAGGCTGTGCCTGGAGGCAGGGAGGACCTGAGCATTCACACGCCTTAGCTGCGGAGCGGGTGGTGCTGCCTGTGAGGACCAGGCCTGCTCACCACCAGGGACACGATGGTCGGGGCACAGGTCAGGCTGCAGTTGTGGACACCCCTCCGCTGAGGCCCAGCACCCAAAGCAGAGCACCAGTCTCGGGTGGAGGAAGGGGGACATCTCTGAACAGGCTGCCTTCAGAGTCTGCCTGGAAAGTCCCAGGCTGAGTCAAGCTGAGACAGTACTCATGAGGGACATTCAGCCCCCGAATTTTTTTTTTTTTTTTTTGCTGGAGTATGTGGCCTTTGAAATCCAAGCTCACTTCAGTGTATGACAGTTATCTGTCATCCCCACAGAGGGCCAACCCCATGTTAAACATGTGGCAAGCACTCAATAAATCTCCCTTGGTGAGATTCCAGTCAGGCCCCGCTGCCTGAAGGCTGGCTGTCAGGGAGGCAAGGCCAAGATGAACAAAGAGGCCCCTTATTGAGAACACAAATCTGAACATTTGCAAATATCTTAGTAGGAAAATGATGATGGGGATGAACGAGGCAAGAGGGATGGACAAGGGTGGCTAAAACTCTAGAATCAGGAAATGAAACCTACTGTCCACCATCAGTTTGAAAACAATCAGGCCTTCTTCCTGGGACCGGTGCCCAGCTCATGTCTTCTGATGAAGATAAAAAATCAGACTCCAGAGTCAGCTTTGTTCCAAGCACAGTAGAAGGAGACAAGCTAAGGCTACCAAGAAGCCATTCTTTTTTCCATGGGTGTCAGAATTCCAGTTCTCGGCTCTGGGACCACATTGGATCAACGCAGAGCGAGGCTGTGCTGTCAGGGGCCCTGTGTGACATCTGCCAGGTTCCAGAGAGTGACACTGGTTGGCACACAGCCAGGTCAGCCAATCCCAAGGGTCCTGGGGGGGATGCAAGTCATGTCAATTGATAGGCACATGGTCCAGCAAGGCCTGAAGCTGAGGGTCGAGGAAGCCTGGATGGTCTTAGATGGGGGACGCTGGTGCAAGGCTGCCAACTGACTGCCGCTGGGTGGTTTAGACAAAAAAGCACAAGGACCAGCAACAGTTCCTTTAATCTCCTGGAAGGCTGGTGCCCTTGCCCACACTTCTGCTGTTGGCACCATCCTCCCAGTGCTGTCTGGCCTGCTCCTGCTGGTCCTCTGGGTGTCGACTCCATCAGCACCTCCTCAGGACCTGTCCTCTGGCCACCTGTCAGAATCTCTTTCTCGCCATTGTGTTTAGTAGCTATAAATGCTTAATAAATATTTGTTAAATAACAATGGGATGGATCAAGTTCCTGACCCTCTTCTGTAATGGAAAGGGGGAGCTGCAGCCAGAGCTGACCATACCTCTGGGGAGTGCTACATCTATCTGTCATCCATGAAGCCTTATGTGAACTACTTTACGGGACAGCTACATGTGGAAAGCAGACCTGCCGTGACCTTCCCTGCAGTCACACCCTGTGTCGTCCTTTTCCCTAGCAGACAGCTTGAGTCAGCACTCACAGGACAGAGCACTCTCCCCATGTGGACAATCACCTAGCAACCAGGTACGGGTTTGCTCACTGTCTGCCCACTTGATCGGTCTGGGCCTGGACGTACTAAACATGCAGCTGGATCACGCACTGTACAGTTGCATCTTGTCTCCAAAGCACAGGTGGCTTCTGTGTCCAGAGAGGCGAGGCAAATCCTCCCCCTGGAGACCGCCAAGCACTCCTGTCAATGCAAAGCAATCTAGTGGCACCACAGTGGAGGCACATCAGAGTGGTCGAGATTATGGGGAACCAGAGAATCGCATGGAAACTGGAAAAGGTGGAGGAGCTGGTCAGGTGGCCCCAGGGGAGAGGGTATAAAACAATCTGTGCCCCTGGGTTTCAGCTGCCAGGAGAGGGGCAGCTAGCCTGGGAGGGCTTTGCAACACACTATGGTTAATCCTCCACATTGTCTTCAGAGGTTCTTGGAAACAGACATTAAGCAAAACATCATATGTTAGCAGGTCCTTGAACAAGGCCATTTCATTCAACCTTGGCTGGGATATTTTTTTCTAAGTGTTATAGTGGAACAACACTGAATGTTACTCAAGCTGCTGTACTTGGTGTCTTTAGGTTTCTGACGCAAGGCCAGTGGAATCTCACTGTGATACAACCTATAACAAAGGCTTCCACACAGCACAGGCCATTGTGCCTCTCACCAATAACTAACACAATAAATGGCCTGTAACTCAGGTTCTCGGAACACAGAGGTCCCTTGTAGTTGGAAATAATTCTGCCAGAAATATGGTCCTAGACAAGTGTTACCTTCTGAGATGCGTTCTGGTCTGCTCTTCACTTCTGCATCAGCAAACACCCCGAGGACTTGAGCAGGCCACGTAGCGTGTTCCAAAAAAAGGGCTCAGAAATGATGCTTATAATTTCAAAGGGTTCAGGCCTCTACATTAATTTTTCAGTTCAGCATTCATTTATGTTCAAGGAGACTGAGGCCTGCAGCAGTCACAAGGTCACAGATAACTAGCTACCTGGGTCTTTTAATTGCCTCAAACTGTAGGAGAGACCAAAGCACCAGGGACCAAGGCCGGCATTCCAGAGGCCAGAGGGGAAGAGCTTGGTCAGCCTCTCCTGCTGCAGCTGGCAATGCTTCTTGACCGGCAAGTAGGTCAGAAGGAGAGTGTGAGAAAGGAGAGCGGAGTGACTATGACTTAGTGTCTTGTCTAGAACACCAAGCTAACCATGGAGCCAAGACAGGTAGAGGGATTGCCAGAGAACCTGACTTTACATAAAACTGACCTGAGGACACAGATCCCCCCATCTGCCGACATCTCGACAGAGACAGGGACTCTCCCCCTGTGGCAGAGAACTGGCCGTGCCTGGACAATGTCTGTGGCAGGGAAATGGTGTGTGCCATTCCAGGCCTTGTAAGGCATCCCTGACATGTGCTTGGCACACAGTAGGTGCTCCAGAAACACTATTTCCTCCTCTTCCTTTTCCGCATGGAACAGATATGCATTTTTTTTTTATCTCCTTGGCATACAATATAGTCAGGTAATCAAGCCCACAAAAGCCTGTGGCAAAAAACCTGATTTTGAGAGGTATTACCTTCTACAGAGCTTTGATAACTGCTTCCCCCCTGCACACATACCCCAATAGAACTCTGAGCTAAGCTGTCATCATGGTAACAGAAGGAGATACTTTAGTCTCCATTTCTCTCTCTGACTCATGGATACCTGCCAGGTAGCAGATGGCCCGCGTGGACAATTACCTTCATTTTGCTGCAGTGTGTTTAAACTAAACAAACTGGCCTCTTTACTGCGGATGTTCAAAGGCCCTCTCAGAAAAAACAAAAAACAAAAAAAAAAAATACAACATTGGGCGGAAGGAGCTACTACTCTGAAATCTGGGCGAGGCAGGTGTGAGTGTACAGAGAACTAGGATGTATGAAGAATGGACTTTGTGTATTTTTTTCTTTAAGGTAAATAAAAACCTCACATACTGTTTTGAGCTGGTGCTGGTGGAGGCTCTGCTAGAAAAGGCAGCTGGCTCATCAAATGTGGAAGTCAAAGGAGAGGGAGGGTTCTCTGAGCTGCGCTGTCTGTCCTGCTGCAAGATTTGACAACAACTGCCTTGCAGGAAAGAGTTAAGGACCTGCAGGTCCAGACCTAGATGGAGGTGAGCAGGCGATGGGAACAGGTGGAGACAAGACAGACTGGCATGACAGACTGCTCACTGCATGGCAGTGAGCAAAGAAGCAGGGAGGGTCCCACTGGGGCAGACTAGATCAGGTAAAGAAGATGCCGGGGACCTCCCTAGCTTAGAAAAGGTGTCTACAACAAGCTGAAGTGCAGTACTAACTCCTGACGATAAACGTGACTTTACACACTTGAGAGACGGGTTGAAGAGTTTTATGGTGCCTCTTCTCTCACAACCATCAATGCACATTTACCTGTGCTGTCGGTTGGGAGAACGGGGCCACCGAAAGCCTACTATGAGGTCCCTCTGCAGAGGGCTGACACCTGTTTGTTCCCACATTACTTCAGGAAACTCGGTGCTCACACGTAACCTGCCACTCACAGTGGAGGTGTGTGGG